AGCCACGCCCACCTATCCTGAAACGGTCGACTGTTTCCGGATTTCCGACTCTCGCCGAAAGTGCGCCACCAAATGCCAAAATGTGAGAGGAAGTCATACCCCTGAGCCGTAATAACACTGGTCATTCAGTATACTTTTAAACAATATACATTTTTCGGTCGGCGTTTTCTTTTCTTATTTTTTTTTTGGTCTATTTTCTTTTTTTTGGAGAGAGAGTTCTTAGATGTTGTGTTGTGGGCAGTTGCAGTGAAACGTACATTCATAGTGTAAGTATTGACACGTTTCTAATCGATCCGAAGGTGCGAACTCAGTGGACGAAAGCCACTTAACCTCAGATTCTTTTTTTTGGAAAAACTGTACTCGTCCATGACAAAAAACTAGGTGTAAAGAGAAATGCCGACAACATAAATCTGGTGCAACACTTTTGAAAGAAATAGATTCCGGACCATGATCACCGAGGCGGATTACAGAAGAGAGAGAGACGTCCGGCAAGTGTTTCAAATGAGTTGACTTCTTTTGCGAACATGATTATCGTTTTATAGAGACCATTTAGTCCCTGTTAAGTAAAAGGTAGCAATAATTTTGACAGTGACACACAAACGAAGCGTCGGACAAACAGGAAATTACACAGCCCTTACACACTGCTAATTGTTTTCATTTTCGAAGGCTGAAAGTTTCTGAATTGTTTGTTGATTGGTGTTGAATGTCGACTTCACATCTCTGTTCTTTTTTTTACCTCCATGCTTGCAGCTTGATCTCTTTTTACCTCCATGATCTGTGATAGAGGGACTGTGATATGATGTTATAATTATGACAATCACTCCATGGATCACGCTAACTCGAATCCACTCTGAATTTATCTGTATGTGTGTCGATCTCGATTATTTTGTTATCCAATTATTAAACGCCGCTTTTAACGCACTTGCCCTCGTCGTGACCCGACGCGTTCACCTATTTCAACAAAAGTTGAATTTATTTCCACGCGGCTGTCATTTATTTAGTAACTGTGATTTGTCTTTTTTTAATTATTTTATAGTGATCACAATAATCTAATGTTTAGAATGTCATAATATGTTCTCTTTTATTTTAATTTGAAAGTTTTACTCAGACGATCGATGAAATAAAACAGTGTAGTGACGTGCCTAGTAACCTGCTAAATAAAGAGATAATTCCGACGTCAAATTCTATTTTGTCCATCGACAGTGTACAAACGTGCGTCGGTGTCGGTGACGATCACGGTGACCAGCTACACCAGAACGGACATATTTCGCATCTAACTCAACCCCATGCAACGAAAATTGATAGTTTGTGTTCATTATGGTCTATTCCCCCTTCGACGAACAAGTACATAAGTGAAAATTTAGTCAAAGACGAGAAAACTGCACAAAAAATTTGCCTTATTTACACGTATCTGCAATGCAAGCTGCCATGCGACTTCCCCTTGTGACGTCACAAGGGGAATTTCTGTATGCAAATAAGAAGCTAATGAAGAGCCTCGTTTTAAAATACACAAAAATAAAGTTGACTTAAAACAAATAATTCATGCTTAGAAACATAAAAATTAATAATATTTATGTATCAATGGATAATTTTAGGCGTGAAAATAGCAGCCATTTCACAGGCACTTTAAATTTACAAATCGTGTTTTTCTGTGGTTCACAATTCATTTCAAAGTCACAACACGGAGGACAAGACATGTTTTACAAGCAAACAGCGTTCTGGCGTCTGATTAGGTTTGTGTGGCGAACAAAGATCACCCAACGACCGACCCTCACAACTAGCATACTACCATTAACAAAAAAATATATTATGGTCATTTCAGATGTTTTTAATTCGGTAATATTTCCTAAAAATCAAATACTACCGGTTTTATGCATTTCCCGCATAAACCTGTAGTCAGTCTATGTTCCACTTTCTTTATCGTAACTGTGCATTATCAGCCAATATACCCTTAATTCCATATGCTAATTTTGTGTTTGGACCAATCAAATCGATGGATTACCACAATCAATATAATTGTTTTAAATAATTAAACTTATATTGGAGGTAGAGAAAGAAATGAGTTTATATACTGTATGTGGGGACATACATAAGGACAATTGTCAACTCAATTCTACAATTCTACATTATAGATAAATTAATTTGAATAACTTCATATTCAAATTAACTTCAATCAGTTTGATTAAAACACAACTATACATACAGTTGCAATTTAAGTGAAGTTCCATACCAAATATTGTCACTGTGTATTTGAGACATATCTAACTTAAGTTCAGAAAAGTTGCATAGATTAGAGGTAATTAACGCTGAGGTTGGTATAATGTCTACCAAATGTTAAAATTAAATTGAAAGTCAACTTCTGTAAAGGGGTTACTCTTATACATGCGGCTTCACTTATAGTAACGTGAGATTCAGTGCATCATATATCCGACAGTTCAACATACCCTGTTTACAAACATCAGGTCTTACATTGCTTTAACTTTACAAACATAAGGAAGCGAGGCTTCACAAGTGGTATCCCTCCATCGGTCGCCTGGTGACAGGAGAGAAAGCATATATTGAACACACGACTAACTGTGTACTACTAACTCATTATATCGGCATTATGTTCAGGCTTGTCATTCTCTGTAAAATCCTTGGTTCAATAGAATGAAAGACGGTGATATTCCTTCAAAATGTATTGAATGCCTTGGTATAGCAAATGCGTTGCTTATGGATATGAACAAGTGAAACATTACTATAAAGTGAATAAGTGATTTTGGTGTACAAAATGCATCTTTTTGACATATTTCACTTATATTTCCGTACTATATGTGATACTTACTGGACCCGTAATTACCAGCAACGCAATTGGATGCCGTTCCTCCATTAGGCTGGCTACAATCCCAATGTTTCCACACTGCAGCAGAACCATCCGTCCACACCCAGCTGTTTTCCTGCGTGAATTTATCACATGCAAAATTGAAGTTAATTGCCATTTAACAATAATATCCTAGGTTTTCTATGTCGTAGTCAAGTTTCATATAGGCTATAACACCGACATATTAACGCAAATGGGTAATAGGTAATTTAGTCTGTTTATACACTGAACTTACATAATATCGCAACGTAAGTGAACCGCGTTTAATTTCATTTCCGTGTTGCGTCCTATTGACTGCATCAAGTGTATATAAGACAGGGCATGCCACTATGAATGCACTGCAAATTAAGGAAAGGCGCATAAAGCTTCCGACCTTAATGTAGAACAGCTTTCTTCGACTCGCGTTGATATGGTCCTTACGTTACATTCAGTAATTAAATTCATACTGTTAATCTCAAGGTTACACTAAACATAGAGTTAACATTTTAGCGTATGTCGCTGTGTATAGTAGTGAATTAATAATAATAAATAAGCTAAATTTGTTCCGCTACCTCTAATACGTCATTTAGTCCAATCCAGTAATTTCCGGTCGTTTGGGCTATTTTATTAACGAATCCTTCTTCTGGCAATGAATGAATTGACGCCAATTTACACCCTAAAGCTAGGCTTGCACAGTAACTATCAGCGGCAGGAAAAACAGCGGGACTCGAAATGTATCTGTAACAGTAACCATTGTCAGCCCAATACGTAAATCCAGCGGGACAGGCTCCTGAAAGTGTACACAATATTTTGAAACGTGGAACTATTTATAAATGAGTGAATATTATTTGAATATTTTTATTTTAATGACAGTGAACTATATTTATAACTATCACGTGACAGTATTTCAATATTGTACAAATAAGACTATTTGTCCAGTGAATTGTCTCTTATGTACAGATTATGACATCGCATACCACTTACCTTGAACCATAACAAGGCTTACACTGAGTGCACATACAATTATAAGAACCTTCATATTCGTACAATATTTGCAGTGTGGAAAGAATGTATACCTGTCACCAGTAAAACAAGAAACAAACTTATGATATAATAGACATGCGTGCTGTTCACGCTTTTTACAGTTTCATAGCATAATACTTTAAACAAGACACTCTGATATTTCTTTTTACATTTTGCAACTAAAGACGGTTTCGGCGTCAATTACCAGACAATAATTACAACTGTTGCCACTTATTGGTTGCGTGAACTCGCAATTTGATTTACAAATGAACTAAATTCAAATTGTCGAAAGAAAGAGATCCTTCTCACGCGTCATTGAAGCTGAAAATATCGCATAAATTATGTGAAGTTCCGCCAATCAAGTGAACATAATTTAGTCTTCCAATAGAAATTATTAATTTTGGCTCCATTTTTGACGCGCACACGAGCTGCTTGCATGTAGTCTGCCATTTGTCACTAAAATGACCACCATTTGTCCACCCACAATTTATGCATAAGAAATATGACATGTACATATTATTAAATATACATTCGTTTATGAATGCGATAGGAATATTAAGAATATTGAATTGCGTAGGTCACATATGAAATAAATTATATTGAGAACTGAGAACCATACATGACAACAATATATGTATCAGAGGTATATCCCGTCACAATCTCGCTCTCGCATAAGCGTTCCAACTCAGAATAATGCGAATGCGCATGCCCGAGGTAACGAGGATACTGGGATGTCCAGGTGGATCAAAATAGCTGCCCACGATATGACGGATTACGGGAACTATATTTTCTGTACATTTTCGATGTATTACATTTTTCACTATGATAGCGACAAGAAAAGTTTTATTTTTTCATTACAAACCTTGAACATTGATTGATATGTGTCATGTCAGAAGGTCGTAGCCTCAGTCTCGCTATCTACGAGAAGAGACTTGAATGGGATCTTGACATGATGTCACCATACAGTACTATGCGAATTGCAAACCCAAAGTAATGTACCTCTGATGTATTCGTATATACCTCGTTTTTCCGGTGGTAAGCCTATGAGCGAGCTGTTTCAATATCACGCCGACACTGTCTGATCATATCGTGATAACATTTCGTTTATCATACATAAAGTCGTGAGCACTCTGGAATGGTTTTAGCTAATTATTGTTATATTTTGTAGCGACATCAGAAATTTGTAGCGAATTCGTTTAGGTCTTGACATGATTTTGTCGTTCTGTTGTGCGTCTGAACTCATAAATGATTTACTAGTATCACATTTATACTAAAATCTAACCCAGATTATTAGCTACGTTTAGTTCAATAGAGAATAGCGACTGAATAGTTGGAGGCTCACGTCCAGTGGTGTCACACTAATAATGTTTATACTGAAGTAAAATAGTGAATGAACAAGAGAAATATACTAATGCTTTGTATGAATGTGTGCAAAACTGCAGCTGGTGAGGTTCAGTTGGCAAGTTTGTCAATTATTCACGCGTGGCTATTTAGGATGGGGTAAAATGCATTGAGTAACATTCAGTGAACACTCTTTAAAACAGTGAACACTCTTTAAAACGAGTGAACACTCTTTAAAACAGTGAACACTCTTTAAAACAGTGAAAACTCTTTAAAACAGTGAACACTCTTTAAAACAGTGAACACTCTTTAAAACAGTGAACACTCTTTAAAACAGTGAAAACTCTTTAAAACAGTGAACACTCTTTAAAACAGTGAAAACTCTTTAAAACAGTGAACACTCTTTAAAACAGTGAAAACTCTTTAAAACAGTGAACACTCTTTAAAACAGTGAAAACTCTTTAAAACAGTGAACACTCTTTAAAACAGTGAACACTCTTTAAAACAGTGAACACTCTTTAAAACAGTGAACACTCTTTAAAACAGTGAACACTCTTTAAAACAGTGAACACTCTTTAAAACAGTGAAAACTCTTTAAAACAGTGAACACTCTTTAAAACAGTGAACACTCTTTAAAACAGTGAACACTCTTTAAAACAGTGAACACTCTTTAAAACAGTGAACACTCTTTAAAACAGTGAAAACTCTTTAAAAGGCAAACAATAAATATTTGAAAACACATTTTTCTCCGTCAAAGTTCCATGGCAAAAATAAGTAGTTTCTTCTAATGCATTTCTTCTATTGTCACTGTTAAACAATGAAGTAAGAGATACGAATGCACTGTGGAGGTGAACGCCGAATCAGGCTGTTGAAATAGTAAAGTGTTATACATACCTTTGTGCGCAGAACAGCACCAGGCGAATACAGGGGTGCAAATGGGTGTCATGAACACGTTACCCGTTATTTATGCCAATTTATCAAACATCAGCTGTACATACTTATCGATACTATCAAAATATGCCATCAAGCACGTGATTAAAATGACGTGTGTGACGTCGGACTTGTAGTGTAGTTAATTTCATCACTTCATTGATTAATGTGAGATGTTTGAAACTATATGATGACGTTTCAATCAATATACGCCAACTATTAGTTTGTGTATGATTCCTATAGTAATGCACTATTTCAGTATTGCACAATCTGCAGACAAAGATGGCGTGAACACGCAGGAGTGTAGCCAGTTATTTATCAAGACAACCCGACTTTTTAACGAATTCGTTAATATTATTGAACATTTTCCGTATGGGAATAAGGGAATGATACTACACTAAATTTATCAAAACCTATTAGTAACAATGGTGGTGTTTAAATTGTTTGATACGTTGAAGCAGAACGCCTTACTCACAAAGTGTTTTTAAAAGCAGGTCTGATCCCGTCAATGCAGGTCACACTTATGTACTATACAATATAACCACGTTAGGGAAAAGGATCATTTCCTATCAAAATTGTCACACGTGTGCTCGATTCATATGAGTATGAGTTTGATGTAAAACATTCTAGTTCAAATCAGCTGCTTACCTCGATCAGTTGCCAAGTATGTCACACATACATTGTGGTAGATGTAGCCTGATGAATATTCATAATTCAACTCGTGCAGCTCAAAAGCCACATATTGACATCGTGTTCAAGATAGCTGAACTGGCTATATCTGTCAGATCTCTGTAGTGTGAGGCTAACATATGTGGTTTGTTCTTAACATTGTATCAATGTTTAACCATTGATATCACGTGATATCTATACACAAATGTGCAAAATATTCTAGAACTTGTATTACAAATCCCAGGACACTTGATGCAAACAAAAAGTGAGACTTGGTGTATATAAAGTCCGGTGACGGAGCTTTATGATTGGCCGCGACGAACTAAATGGGTTTTGCGTACTGAATAATAGAAAATAACTGTTGTTGTTTTTTTAACCGGCAATCACAGGTTGTTTTGTTCAAAAAAAAGTTGCCATTTGTGAAAAGTAAAACATCAATTCACAAATTATCGTTTCCCTTAGAACTCCTATATAATTCCAATTTCGACACACAGTATCCTGTAGAATTTTGACCTATAGGGATCCTATAAAAATAAAAATTCAACCTATAGGAACCCATACAATTTTGTCCAATCCTATAGGAATGAGATTGTGATGATTTACATGATATTCTAAACTTATGAGTTATAAAAAGTACTTTATTACTTTATTACCAGATATGTAACACAATTGAAGAAAAATATAAAACTATTACTATGAACGTACTGCACAACATTAAGTTAAAAAAGACACTGCTTAAAATATGGAAAAGAGGTAATTCTATTGGCAAAATTGTTATCAGTAACCATCAACTCGTCAGTCAATCAAGAAATATACAATGAAATAAAACATAAGAATGAAAAAATATAATAGTTACAAAGAATAATAATAATGCATACATGTATTTCGTTTTCAATAAATTTATACTTCTACAATTGGCTTTCACAAATTGAATATCCTCATTTAACACGAAAACAAGTAGTGCATACTAAAGGTACACACTATGTTTTAATTATAATTCCCCAGACAATGCAAACTGATGTCATTTGACGCTACGAAATAGGTCACCAGAAACCTTTATACTATGATATCCTTAAAAATGAACAAACGTACGAGCATTTATGATTTATTTTTCATGTTTTTTATGTTGTTTTTTTAGACGGCTTTTCAATTTGTTCCAGTCCGCTCGCGAAAAGGAGGCTCCGCACTGAACTGCCAGTCACAGTCCCTCCAGCCGACTGTGTGTCAGCTCATAAATATTGTTGCATAAATTAGTGCGCAGTGCTCGCCGGAGCTCCCGGGAAACCGCTGATTTGATTTTTACAGGAGTCAATAAATTCACTAAAACCGGCCTCCTGATTTGTTGGTTTGGAATATGTCTTACCAGAAAATATGGACGTACGAATATGCTCCCGGGGAACAAGAAGATTTCTGCATCATGGAAAAGACTCATTTCTGCTCTAAAAATGATCCAATGAGACTGATGTATCAACGTGAAACTGACAATATCAACAAATTGAGCCAAGTAGAAACAGTTATTATACTTCTGAAAGCTCGTTCTAGCCAATGTCTTTCTTTAAAATCGTTCAACTAGGCCAAGTCCGAATTGCAATTCTTTCTAACAACATGCAATTACAATCATGGTAATAAAAAATACTCTTGCCAAGAAAATGAAGTGAATATACTGTGTGAATATACAGTAGGCAAAGAGATGTTGACCATGACGAGTATGAGTGGTAATAAAACAGAATGTGCAAAGACAAAAAAGAGAAATAATTATACTGTTCCAATCGGATTCAATGCACTCAGAATAGATCAACGTGTGAATACTTAGTGTATGACGTCGTTCGAGAAATCACACTAAGGGCAATACACTAGAACAAAACATATCATGAACAATCAGTTCACCTCAACTTTTACCACAGCACAAAAGTACACATTACATATCTACCACTCCCTTCTATTCTTCTATGTCTACGTAATGTTCAATTCCAACAACAAATTGAAAAACCAGAATACGCAAAGTGTCATAGTTGTGTTGCAAATACTGAACAATATTAATATTGTTATTACGCATTGACTATGCTGACTGATGTT